GGACGAGACATAGGAAAAATCCAAGATGGCGAAGGCGACGATGCTGGTGGACATTGGGACACTGTTATGGAAGCAGTCCCACACCCAGCCACTCTGACCTTCACTGTTTTTTGCAGAAACCGCTGTCAATAAAAGATAATCTGTTCAAAGGTAATTAGATACATTCTGAATTTATCATTTCGTCAATACTCACACAGGCCGAGTCTCGGCAAGGGGCATGTTGGAGAGTGACGTCATCCAGGTCTCCCTCGCCAGGTGGACCTCGAAGGTCGCCTTCAGGGCCGGCTCGTCGAAGCACGGGAAGGCGCGGCGGGCGTCCGTGGGCTGGAACATCGACACGGCCAGATACCTGACGGTTAAAATTTCGCGTATATTTTTATGTGTATCTGTCAGAGATCCAGTCAGTTGTACCAGGCCCCTAAACCATATTCACAAATATCTATCCATTATAGCAAAACATAGTTGACTTCATAACCGATCACATTTTGTTTATGTCACAATCATTTAGCCAATGGACTTTATCGATTATGGACTGTAGTCAAGCAAGTACACAATTAATCATGAGATACCACTTCGATATACGATATTATCAGTTTGACATTCTGCAATCCTTTTTGACTTCCTCTTTTCAAAATGCGTGAAATTATTGTCTAACGGAATGTCAATTATCATGAAAACCTCTACTCGTCTTGCTGGTAAAATGACTTGTCGTACTTGCACTTCTGTGATACCTTTTATAAATCTAAAATTAAGAAACCCGACAAAACAATAAATGAAACACTTAGATCACGGCAAAGTAGAAAATGGCTGTTTACATATAACTGCATTACTGAGACATCAGAGCCTCCGCCATTGTTTATGGAGAAATGCTCGTGAAACTCTTGACTGTAGGGCCTTTCGTATCTATCTAACCACTGTTAATCGCGTCTCTAACTGTATGTTAATTCCTTACTAGATATACTTTTCTAATATCTTTACATATCTGAGAAATGAGATAGTATTTATTTACTGTTAATATTCTATCTTTTAAATATTTCTGTGCTTTGGTTGATATTGGTTGCATGTATTTTAATGCATATCTAAAGGATAAATTATATGAATTAATCAGCTAATCACATACAGTTACATGAAATACATGATGATTTACTTTATTTCTCCGTTACTATCTTTATAGGATGACCTGTAGAAGCCACGAAGCTGGTCGTTGAGGCAGCCAAGGAACTCCATTTGCAGAGTGTACCTCTCCCCTTTCATCATCTCTTCCTCCATTTGGGCGACATAGAACTGACGGACAGGGTCATAATGCTGACTCTTAATTCCAATCTGTCGCTGTTCCACGCCTCCTGAAGTCAATACCTACAACAATAGAAACAGAACGAAAAATATTAAACAATAAGCAAAAACAAGCTTTACGTTTCAACATTGCAGATTTCATACTAGCAAAACAAGACTTAACGTTTCACCTTCACTGTGTCGTTCTTTGTGACGATGTCAAGCATATGGAGTATAACATTTGACGTCGTGTCCAGGACCTCCACTTCCACCTTCAAGTAGCCGAGAATGCTGAAATTGCCATTAATGAAAGGCTGAAGCTGTATTAGGTAGTGGAGCGGCCTAAGAGACTGTGGAAGACGAATGTCCTCTTCCGGCACTGAGCTTGATGACTCCTGTTTAGGATAAATCAAAATTGTTTTTGGGTATTATTAACCTTGCTCCTACATGACGTAAATGGTGTGCTTCACTTGATCCATTCATAGAAAATCGGTAGTTTAATAAACGCACAAATAACCTATACAAGATGCTATAGCTAGTGTAGCTATCTTACAGTTGCATTAACCAATGTTCTAACAAAGATCATTGCATCGGAAAGGCTTTGTACACGCAGCTGTGGGAGTAACATGGTAAAAGCTTCAGTACTTGTGGGACTAGCAGTTTTTCAAAAAGACCTGTAGACTGATATCATTTGCGTTGAAAATAGATTTTTCAGAGCAGGGCCTATTTCATCAAAGATTGCTATTCACACCGTCAAAAATATTTCCCAGGCCTAGCGCCCGGAACTTGGGTAGTGTTTGTACATACGACAATACCAATATACAGCGTAGCATCGCAGCCCGAGCTCCTTCGGCCAGTAGGGAAAGGAGGGGGACTAGAAATACGTTTCTTTGCTGTGTTTCTTTGCGATCCATTATCATTTTGTGATGCAAAAAAGTCAAAGTTGGTCCCATGTCCATGTGAACGTAGGGGACATGTTTGCAGAGAAACATGCTTACTAAGCCGCGGGATGATGCGGTAGGGTGGCCAGTTCCTTTCCGCCCCGACCTTGACCCCAACATGCTGACGTCAGCACATCAGTACTCATTCACAGCTGAGTCGACTGAGAGGGGCGGCGGCCGGGCGCGAACCCAGGACCCTGCGATTGCAAAGCCAGCGCTCTACCACTGAGCTATGCCACCCTCTTGAGCTATGCCACCCTTTGTGATGCACCAGTTGGGAAAAATAGGAAAGAGAAGAGAGGGAAAGAAAATGGGAATGACGGCCTGCGCGCGACTCTTCCCGCACCACCGCCTCCGTCCTTCCTCTCCTTAGGCCTGTTGCCATTCCTCCTCTCCTTGCCATGTTATCATTTGGGCCTGACGAGTAACATAATTAACACTGATGCATATCGAGATGATAATAACTGTAGTGCGAACATTAAAATGTTTGAATCTTAAAAGTATATTGTTCTTAAAAAAAAAAGTACTTGGAAATAATCTAAAACATATATTATTCTGTTCAAAATATCCTTCGAAATTTCAATATCAATCGGATTTACTTGGGAATGACAACGTATTTTTCTTTACAATGCGAAAATGTCAATCCAGAAGTTTCATAATATTTACAAGAAAAGAAAGTTGACCAATGTATTTCAACGCGTCGAGCCGTAATACATTCATAACATTGCAGTTCTTCACGATGCCTGTTTGTAAATGAAATAACTGTGCATAGGCCCCAAAAGAAGTAAGCAGGTTGCTTGCGCTGGCTACGATTGCCAACCCGCGCACGTTTCCCGCACCGGTATTGTATTAACAAGGCTGAGAATTGAGCACACAAGGCTAACTCATGGGCCGATGATGGCTAAGAGTGAAGCACGCTGTGAGGGATGCCAAGAGCCATTATCGGTCGCACATATAGTGGAAAGATGTGCAACATTCTCAGACCAAAGACGAAGGTACCTGTCTCCCCCATATACACTGAAAAATGTATTGGGGGAGGATTGTGACATAGAGGGTCTTATTAGTTCCCTTAGGGAAACTAATATTTTCAATAAAATTTAATTATGGATAATGTTTATAGTTTTTAGAGATTTAGAGCATAATGTTTATGCTTTGATTTTTAATATAATGTTTATTGTTATTTATGACATTTATTGAAAAAATAATGTTTTAAATATTTTAATATTTCAGTCTAACAAGGTGTTCGCCGCTAATGACCTTGGCTGTTGGCGCGGCAGATAATCAATCAATTCCGCACCAGTAAGTGTCCACATAGGTTGCGGGTAATCAGACAGGACATTTATGTACATGTGTGTATGCATGTTGCTATAAACACACACACACACACACTTATATTTATATGAATGTGTATATTCATATATACATATATATGTATATATATATATATATATATATATATATATATATATATATATATATTATATATATATTATATATATATTATATATATATTATATATATATATATATATATATATATATATATATATATATATATATATATATATATATATATATATATAGACATATATACACAAACACACACAAACGGAAAGAGAGAGAGAGAGAGAGAGAGAGAGAGAGAGAGAGAGAGAGAGAGAGAGAGAGAGAGAGAGAGAGAGAGAGAGAGAAAGAGAGAGAGAGAGAGAGAGAGAGAGAGAGAGAGAGAGAGAGAGAGAGAGAGAGAAAGAGTCTATCTGCGCAAGAATTGTCTGGGGAAACGAGAAAGCAGGTTAATATAGGCTGCCCGCTCGGAGGAACTTTTTTTGTGTGTGTGTGTACGTCAAAAATTAAATCATATGAACAATTGTCAACTTGTCTTTATAGTTTAATTCTTGGCACGGGTTGGTGTAGGAAGCCTGCGCAGGTAAACCTGTTCTCTTAGTGCACGCATCCTTAATTCCATCTCAGACAATTTCTTGGTGTAAGAAAGACATAAGCCACATGGGATGACTTGGGATTTTCATATAATTTGCTCTTGTAAAAGTGATAACCTTTATATATCAGTTTTATGCTCTGAATCGGTGCATTTGAACGATATATCTAAATGAATGTTAAAAATCGGATACAGGGTTACCTTAAGGTTAAATATAAAATGTGATATCAAGAGGTGCGCATTATATTAAGGATTAAAAAAAAAAAGAAAATCGGTGAATTCTAGGGTGTCCTTAACATTTTCAAGAGCGATGATCGTTCCCGTCAAATGCCTTGAATCTATTGCAGTTGCAGTATGGATGGAATGAGATTGGACCTCATGTAGCATGTATTTTTAAAATTCTCTCTCAGACTAAATACTTAGTCCCTTTAGGTATAGTGACTAGAATAAAAAAAAAACAGTTCTGGGAGGATGGGTGACTACCCCTGGGTTTTGCAAAGGCCTTAAAGATCTCGCCCATACTCACACCAGAACTTACTTTTCTTGTATTATGTATTCTAGGAAAAGTTAATAACCCTTGCTTTATATATTGGTATTTCAAATCATTTTTACCAACATCTACCCACATATTTACAGCGAATGTTACTTATGTTCTAGAATAATAATATTACAGCCACAGTCAGAGTTGGTTCCAGAGTTGGATGTAGATTAGAGGAACATTAATAGAGTATTAATAGAGTATTTAATAGAGTATTTAACACCATCACCATCATAGATGCTATGAAACGTCAAATCATCAATCAGGTATCTATCTTCTAGAAAGATGTGCTTTAATCTTTCTCTCCTAAATATGTTACAAAAAATCACTAAAGAGAAGCTGCTAAGTGTTTCATTCATTATGCTCTAAAGAAATCACGTACGGCAGACTTACTCTGGGGAGTCGTCTCGAGCCATTAGCTTTGCTTAAGGTCATTGTCACGTAACTGATGAAGAAAAGTATGAAAATCCTCATGGTGCAAGGTAAGCCGCAGGTGTTTATGGCGAGAATTCTTCTAATATTCGGATGTAGATCTCACGGAAAACGGCCAATCTGACAGGGTAAATAGAGACATAGCTATTCACACAGCCTTTTGCAGAATGGAGCGCTTTACCTCTGGCAAACCGCGTAATACCAGGCAAAGAATCTTAAGGGCACACTGAAAGAAACTGCAGTTGTGGTGTGAATCATACTTTAGTCGAAACAACAGGATTTTATATTGATTCCTAACAAGACTTGATGTTTATATACAAGATTGTATACACATCTGTACACGCAATATAAAAAAATCACAATCTATCCATGAAGAAAATATGTCGAAACAGTTGACTATGAAATCCAATAGAAAGTAGCTGTGGCACGTTTTATCGCATGAGCTTCCTCGCTTAAAATGTAGAGAATTTTGATACTATATTTCTGAAATATATTGTCAAATATTTTCGCAGAAGATCGTTTGTTTTCTTACGTACTGCATAATACAGATATTACTTAGACTATGCCTATCTGATAAAGACCAAAAGTTTTGTGACTAGTTTAAGTGAACGGTTTTCTCAAGGTAGAAACGTTTCAATTATAAACCGGCTCCTTTTCTTTCGAGCCAGTTATGCCCGTCTGGGATTAGATTTTACCCAGTGTTAGCTTCATTTGCTCTTTTCCTGTTGAATTATTGAAATTATTTTAATGTTTTCATATATATAGTTGCAAAAAATGGAGAAAAAAATAAACACACGCACACGCACACGCACACACGCACGCACGCACGCACACATGCACACACACACACACACACACACACACACACACACACACACACACACACATACACACACACACACACACACACACACACACATACACACACACTCATATATATATATATAATATATATATATATATATATATATATATTATATATATATATATATATATAATATATATATATATATATATATATATATTATATATATATATATTATATATATATATATATATATAATATATATATATATAATATATATATATATATATATAATATATATATATATAATATATATATATATATAATATATATATATATATATTATATATATATATATATATTATATATATATATATATAATATATATATATATAATATATATATATATATAATATATATATATATATAATATATATATATATATATTATATATATATATATATATATATAATATATATATATATAATATATATATATATATATATATATAATATATATATATATAATATATATATATATATTATATATATATATATATAATATATATATATATATATATATAATATATATATATATATATATTATATATATATATATTATATATATATATATATATTATATATATATATATTATATATATATATATATAATATATATATATATATTATATATATATATATAATATATATATATATATAATATATATATATATATTATATATATATATATATATAATATATATATATATAATATATATATATATAATATATATATATATATTATATATATATATATATAATATATATATATATATAATATATATATATATATAATATATATATATATATATTATATATATATATATTATATATATATATATATTATATATATATATATAATATATATATATATATATTATATATATATATATTATATATATATATATAATATATATATATATATATATAATATATATATATATATAATATATATATATATAATATATATATATATAATATATATATATATAATATATATATATATAATATATATATATATAATATATATATATATATACTTTCATCTTTGTACACAAAGATGAAAGGAAAAAAGCCGCATAATGAAAAACTGAACGTAATGTTTCGAACTCATCAGGAGGCCTCCTTCGGATGAGGCAATTAACTAAAATGGATACTCATTTTTTTCAAGATTACAATGTCGCAAAGAGAACGTAAGAACCAGGACTGAATCGGTCTCAGAAAGACGGGTCAAAGTTAAAGAGTCTAAGGAAACCTTTACATTTTTCCTTCTCAAGAATTCAGAGAACTATGAACTAATTTAGCCTCTTACCAGATAACCTAATGCTTTTCATCACGTAAATAGATACAAATAAAGGAAGACAAACGTAATGTTAGGTACGCTAAAGAATCAAGTGCGTGTTTTATTCATTTACGTGGTGAGGGTTATCAAGTTGACTGAAAAGACACAAAATCATTAATGAAAATAAAGCACTCTTGGTTAGAAAATGACCGAACTTCGACCCAACTGCTGATCTACTGCTTTCCCGAGAATCTATGACCTTGACCTCCCTCCCGATGTCCTTAACCCTTTGACATGAAGTGGTCAGTAGGACTAACCACTTACTTTGAAGACGTGCAGGTTTTTATTTTACCCGATTACGTATTTCTTTTTTGTGTTTGTTTTTTTCAACAATAAAGTTTTGAACCTATTTGATTTTTTAATCAATCGCTTACACTACTAATAAGTCCGTATACCCGTCTTAAGAATTAAGTAATAGCATAAAAGTGAAGAAATGATAGGTGGTTGAAATTACAAACATGGATTGTGCCAAGGATCGAAAGACGGGATGGTCGTACCTTGCGCTTTGGATGTTGGATTTGCCAGATCATTCCAGCAACTCTTATTGCTGTGCAAGTTGCCGATACGAGACCCTTGATGCCCTGACCATTGGCAGGTGTTTCCAAAGACCTGGCGGAGATCTTACGAAAGATTTGTGTAGGATTTATTGTATGTGAGTGGTTTCATCCCAGGTAGGGGAGTGTAGGGATAATCCATAACTTATCGTCGAGGGCATGTTCGCTTCTCTTCGTGAACAAGTTAAGCGCAACTGGAGACGTCTTAGGAATAAATAGTTGCGATATAGGAGCGGCAAAAGCAGGCCCAGCAGAAGGCAATCGGCAGGCAGGAAGCAGCGGCAAGTAGGTGCAGAAATGGCGGAAGAATAGGCTGGCCAAGGCTCAACCTTTGGAGACATCTTCGAAGATACGGGTCTTTTCCCAGCTATTTGTAGCGGATATGCTGCGGTGTTGCTTGTAATGATGAGAGGGATGTAATGTTACACCATCTGCAAGTTAGGATGACATAGTGGTGATATGTCTGGAGGGGGATTTTTCTTCTATTGTTGATTGGCAGCGTGTATTCCCTTGTTCAGTACAGGTGATGTAATTGATAAACTTGTTAAACCCCAGTGAATAACATGACGTGGTTCAAAGTAAAACTTTATCTTGGTTAGTATTATTATGTATCTCTGCGGGCGTGTGTAATGCTATTTATTGAAAACATTTATTGAAATGTGCACTGAAATAAAGAATCGATTTCGCAAGAATGTAAAACAATCGTTCACCATGCACACGTCAAAATACCTCAGGAATACGCACTCGCATGAGTGATCACGGAGCACATTGAAACCTTGACATAATATTTACCGTTTGAGCATTTCCTGCTGACATCTTTTCTTCATATCCTTCTCTTCTGTCTCTCTTATCAGTCAAACGCGCTTGGTCAGATTATCTCCGGCCCAGTCTTAAGATATCGTTGAGCTCATCCATTGTGTCAGAATGCAAATCAAGGGTTATTATTGCTTCTAAAATAAAAGAAAACGGCAAACAAATTGAAACTAATAGAATGCCTGATATCAGTTATACTTATACAGGAATGACAGTTATCCGTGTAGGCCTTTTGGTGAGACACTCCCTTCCTGACTACCTCGGTATATCGATGTCCTTACAAATGCCTTACATATGTTTATATAAGAGAAATTTAGTTAAATAGCAGAACAATCAAGTGATCAACAGGCTAGTCTAAAGTTTGGTTTTATTTGACGCAAAAATATGTCCTATTCTCAAAAAGTTCTATCAAAAAGAATATCTTAAAATCTTGAGAGTAAATGCTAATATAGGTAAAATAAGTCGTCCTGTTTATGTAAAATTAAGTTACATTTGATGCCAAAAGCCAGATTCGAACACTTCGTTTGCGACATCAGCCAAGCTTGAGTTTTAGCCATCTCAAGCGCGGCTTTATTACTTTTCCGACGAAAATGGGGTTTGATATTACTTATTGTATGTATGCATATATGTGTGTGTATGTGTGTATAGCTGGCAATGAATAAGAGAGGTGTCGTGGTTAGGTCAGTGATAGGAAGTGCTTAAAATCACGAGTGAGAACTGATCTATGATAGTCATACATAAGATTTGTGAATATTTAGAGCTTATATTCCAATCAAAATAGAAATAATAATTTGTCCAAACGTCTCACAATTTTATAAAATTCAATATTGAACCATGAATACGTGGGCCTTTTAAGCTAAGAAGATACATACAAAGATGGAACAGCAACCATCAAGCTCCACACGGAAACCAATAAAATAACAATTAAAAAAGTTGTTACACAGGGTGATACCATCTCACTAAACCTGTTTAAAGCTTGCCTTGAGGAAATGTTCAATAAACTAGAATAGAACGGAAAGGATATCAAAATAGGAGACGAATACCTAAACAATCTAAGATTCGCAGATAATATTGCCGTCTTCATTGAATCTGCAAATGAAATGCAGCAATTAATGAACGATTTTAATAGAGAAAGTGTGAAAGTCAGATTTAGTATGAACAAAAAAAATAAAAGACTAAGATCATGTTCAACAACAGAGTTCAATTCGAGCAGATCAGGTTGCAATATATATACAATATATATATATATATATATATATATATATATATATATATGTATATATATATATATATATATATATATATATATATATATGTATATATATATATATATATATATATATATATATATGTATATATATATATATATATATATATATATATATATATATATATATATATTTATATATACACACGCATTGTGTGTGTGTGTGCGCGTGCGTAAATATAACAAACACACACACACACACACACACACACACACACACACACACACACACACACACACACACACACACACACACACACACACACACACACACACACATTGTGTATGGATACAGTATGTACATTTTCAGTGCATGCTGCCCACGGGCCAAGGGCCAGTTTATCAGCTCTCATAAAAATAGGTTAACTACCTGTAGGAAACTCATTTTCTAAAATTTTATCAAAGACATGGATCAGGAGTAACACAGTTTTGTGATTAAAGCAATAAATGTGCCTGTAATTAGTATTGTCAATTATCATTATTGTTGTTTACCAGCATTTTAATGCTATTATCATCATTACCACTGTCATCATGAATCATTGTCTGCATCATTACCATTATCATCCTTATCCTCATAATAATTCTTATCACTGAAGTTATGAATATGATACATCACTCCTCTCACAATGATCATTTCCATTATTGCATTTCTCCTCTTGCTTTCTATTCCACCAAAAGCAATCATCGTTGTTATACTCAAGAGAAAAAAAATGAAGACCACGACCTGCATACATTAGCATAGGTCAACATAATGTGAGTCAGTCTGTTACATCAAACCTGTGGAGGGAATATCTCCGCTCCTGTTACTGTGAGAGAGCTAGCGATAGGGTGAACACACTTATCAGGTTTCTTGTGAGGGTGATAATACGGGTATTTTGTTTGCTTCCTTATTAGTGAATAGGATTAGTGTTTCTGATATCGCCGTTGAGGGCGAAAAATATAGTCCTTTGTATTTATGGTCCACGTGTTTTTTTTCAGCTCGATGTACTTATTTTCTTCATGGACTTTTCCATTCCCCTAAGTGTTAAAGGTTCAATTATGTTCTTGAGAAATTAGCTAGAACTTTTACATTCCTAACTCTTTTACTTATTTAGATATATAGAGTGACTTACTGAATTGCACTCTCTGACGACAAAATACTTTGCAGCTCGAACTCTGCAGACTGAACCACGAAAAAATCACTACAAAGGAATATAGTGAGATCGCTCTCTTTACGTCTCTCGTGCAGAGAGCTTTCTCAGGTAGGTACTCAATTTCATAGCTTTCAGGTTACCACGTTTGTCATTATCATCATGAATAAGATTATGATAATTTGTTATCATTATATCATTATGATTATTTGATATCCTCATTACTAAGATTATCATTATCTCCTTGATTACAATTACAGCTGTTACTGGTGCTACCATAATTATGTAATTGATAATACTATTATCTGTGACTCTTGGTAATTACCAATGTAAAGTAAACCATACTTTTATTAATATCGATACTACTGATCAGTTGTGCATTTACCCTCTGCAGATCCCGACTCCATTCCTGTAGCAAGAAATCCACAAATAAAGTAAAATAAAAGAAGAAGAAAATGTTATCTGCGCTCCTCCTCGCCGTGTCCGTGACCACAACAACAACACAGAAATTCATGGCTACGCCAAGCACGTTCTGGAGGCCCACGGTGGGCGCTGTCTCCCTCAGGCCTTGGCAGATCCCGAATCCTGTGTCCGCCGTTCCTTGGCAGATTCCCATACCAAGTAGCGAGACGCCTTTCTCCCTCTGGTATCCGGCCTCAGCACGTGGTCAGCCTAATCACTGGATGGCTAATTTGCCTTCTGAAGGAGGAGCGGCTGATTCCGTGACGGTGAGTTTGCTTCGTGTTTATTATCATTACCGACTATCATTACCATTACATTGAACTTTGTATCTGTTCATCATCATCATTATCATCATCACCATTAGTAGTAGTAGTAACAGTTGCAGTATTATTATCATTTTTCATAATATTTACTAGCTTGTTAGTGCAAGCATAATTGCATACATACGGAAGACGCTACATTGCAATCATTGTTATGAAAAAGCACTGGCAGAGACGTGCAGTTATGACACACGCCAAGATAAGAAATGGCAACAGAAGATACAAATATTTACTCCATGTCATGTTCTTTATACTCACATTTTCGATCTCACTGTCTCATGTAGACCAAGGTTATATCAGGGATTTCCTTTTTAATTTGCTTTATTTTGTTGAGATTTTATATTTTTTACATATTGTGGCTATTAACGTTGATTATAATGAATATAATGTGACTAATAGGAATATGATAACAGTAAAAAAAAGGGCAATAACAGTCAATTGCTCATATGGTTATGAATAATGGTCCTTAGAGCGCAATATTCTCGTTACATTCTTTCATCAAGCTTCATTAGTCGTGATTTCAACTATCTAATAAATGCAGTCATCCTTCAAGATGTCTTCGTCGAAAAAGAAATGTATATACAAACCTCCTCTTACATATCGACTCGTCTTCTGTAATATTCAGGCCTA